TTTTTTTTTTCTTTTATTCTTGTTCCTTTTTTGAATCAAAGAAAAAAAGAAACACATACACAAAAAACAGAGAGCTAAAATCAGATATGTAATTGATTTATTTATTTTTTTTATTTTCTTCCTTTATATTTTGTTTCTTGTCTCTGAAAAGGAAAAGAAAAATGGTGGGGGGGACACCATATGAGAGAGAGATCTGATGAATCTGCTTTATCTATGCACCCAACACACCGTCACTGTGTGTAGAAATCTTGTATTTTTTGTTATTTATAATATAATAGTTTATATATTTATTATTTGAGTATAAATAAATGTGTGTATTTTGGGTTGTATTTGTGTGTTTATTATCTGTACTGTCACTACTGTGGCTGATTTGTGTGAAATTTCTTCTCTCCTTTGTCTGTGGGTTGACTTATGGGACCCACGTCGCGCGTGCCGGGGAATTTGGTCGGACGTCGCACGTGCCACATCCGTGTGTATCGGTACGAGGCTCTTTCTTATCTCTTCGATTTTTTAATTTTATTTTTGTTATTAATATTAAGATCCCAAATTCAAGCTTATCTAGTTCATTAACTCATTTGGGTTCGACTCGTTTCGATTCGTTTACCAAACACATTTCAAATTAGTTTTAACAAAGTGTTTGGTAGTATAAGTTTTTTATATAATTTTTTATGAGTCGACTCATTGGATTTTGAATTCCATATTCATTAATATTGATAAATAAATCGATTTCTTTATTTCATTAATTGAGTTTATTGGAGCTCATCTAAAATAAAAAAGCTCGAGCTCAGCTCCAACCTAACAAATTTGATTTACTCAATAAAATATTGTATCAAAATATATGTAACAAAAACACCTTTTTGGTAACAACTCTATACATAAACTCTCACGGGCAAAGAGAACCAATTTATAAAATAAAATTTCCAACATACGAACTGATTGATTTTGGACCTTTTGAGGCTATTATAGAGAATATTATTATGCTTAACGTAATAACAAGTCGTCCAAAACATGTAATCTCATTACCTTAACCTATGATCTTATATCAAATAGGCATAATTGTTTTAATTTTGTGGAAAGTCAATTGCTAATTTGCTATGAAGCTCATGATGCAGTTATGATTGAATGATTTCAAATAAATATAAATTGTTTTATGGAGTGTTAGGACAAAAACATATATAATTGTTTTTGCAGAATGTTTATTTCTCGTAGTTTATGCTTCTTTCATCATTAATTCGTACGTTACTTAGCCAAGTACATACGTGCTTTCAGACTCTCAGTAGCCAAGAAAAAACTATCACGGTAAATATCATTAAATTTTATAATACCGTGTATTACACGGGTGTTGAATTAAAAAACATATATAAAAAATATTAAAGATTTCATATGATTTTTTTTAAACTAAAATAAATTGTGATTAAATCAAATTGTCAAACTATATTTTTTAATTATATTATGGTAACTATAAAAAAAAAATATGAAATGAAATAAATAATGATTATTTCAATAAAGAAAAATATTTAATATATTATGAAAATAATCATGTTTAATTGATATGAACATGACATTTGAACCTAATTTGTATCAATACAAAGCATAAAATTCTGACAAATAGGATCCCGAAATATGTGAGTCTGTCATTTAAATTTAGCATATTTGGGAATTATATATAGGGAATATATACAGTGATTAAAATACAAAATATTGAAAACATATATGCACACACACTTTTATGTAATTGTGCCTAACACATGGAATATACTTATTTTGTACCCCACTTTCTGAAGGCCTCACCAAGAACCACAAACTACCCAAATCATTTGGGCCCATCAACTTTAACACTTGTTTATATTAGCCCAAACATGGAGCCTATGTTTGTTGAAAAAGATGGCCCCAACATGGAGCACAGATAAGAAAATCAACTTATCTACAATGAATTTTGCAATGAGTTCATACTAATCATTTGTTAAAAATGAAAAATTTAAGAAAAAGTAATTGATAAATGTTCTCAACTAAACACTAAAATGTACCAAAATACATGTAGAGTATTTATCTTGACTCTAGTTTAAGCACTATCCCACATAAACGTACTGACCGCGCGTCGCAACGCGGCAAAATTAATATTTATAAATTCCTTAACCGACTTC